CCTCCTGGCCCCCTGGGCAGCAGGCCCAGGGCTCCCCCTACCCACGGGGAGCAGCTGAGATCACAGGAAAGAATAGCTGCTCATCGCTGTGCGCTGCCTCCTGCCGGGTGCTTCTGACGCATCATCCCTCATCTTCATCCCATGAATCTGTTGTTTTTTTAAATATATTTTTTATTTATTTCAGAGAGCAAGAGGAAGGGAGTGAGAGAGAGAAACATCAGTGATGAGAGAGAATCATCGATTGGCTGCCTCCTACATGCCCCCTACTGGGACTTGAGCCCACAACTCAGGCATGTGCTCTGACTGGGAATCGAACCAGTGACCTCTTGGTTCATGGGTCGACACTCAACCACTGAGCCACACCGGATGTAATTCTTTTGATATTTTTATGCATACACTAAATTATATACTTAGAGCTACTTAATTTTTTAGACATTATCTATTGACTTCCTCTTGGTTAGAGATAAGATTTTTTTATGAATTTGTTAATTCTCCTTATAATTCTAGTTTTGGTATATACATTTCAATGCACTCTCCCTGCCTCCATCATTTCAGTATAGTTAAGAATTTTGGTTTGATTAGCAGTTCTCAAAGTATAGTCCAAGGATCCATAGGGGCCCCTCACACTTTTTCAAGGGATCTGTGAGGTCAAAACTATTTTCATAATGATACAAAGACTTATTTGCTTTTTTCACTCTCATTCTTTCATGAATGTACAGTGTTTTCCAGAGGTCATGGAAAACATTGCAAAAGCCTGAATGCACAAGAAAACAGGAGAATCCAGATGTCTTCCGTTAATGCAAAAATGTAAAACAGTGCCACTCTTCTCATTCTGAGGGGAAAATACATTTTATATAAAAGTGGTTTACCATGTAATTATTATTATTTTTGAAGGAAAATAAACAAATATATATTTTATAATATTTTCAGTTTTAAATTCCCCAGAGCTTTTAAAATTTTACCCTAGTTTCTTATCATAGCCCGTGGAAGAGGAGTCAAAGTTTAATAAATGCTAGTGCCTGCACACATCTATTGTAACACTGGCCTTCTGTTTTGGCTCATTCTTTCACTTCTAGATGATCACCTGTTACTGAGTACAACTTTGCATTTCCAAAGTCATCTGTACATAGCATGTCTGTAGAGGGGCTCGAATTGTCAATGGGACATTGTAGTGGACATTTGTCATTTGCAGCTGCCCAGAATCTTTTGACGACCCCTTCCTTTACATCTGCATAGCCTTTAAATTGTGAGCCCACTTTCCTAAGGTAGAATCATGGTTATAAGAGCTAAGGTTCCCTTGGTCATATGTACTTGAGTGGGTTTGGATGCAGATGTGAGCAATATGGAACAATATTGAGCATTTAGAACTACTCTCCAATATGATAGCCATTTATTTTGTTTCGTATTTTTTTAAAATATATTTTTACTGATTTCAGAGAGGAAGGGAGAGGGAGAGAAAGAAACATCAGTGATGAGAGAGAATCATTGATCGGCTGCCTCCTGCATGCCCCACACAGGGGATCGAGCCCGCAACCTGGATATGTGCCCTTGGCCAGAATCAAACCTGGGACCCTTCAGTCCGCAGACCGACGCTCTATCCACTGAGCCAAACTAGCTAGGGCAAGCCATTTAAGTTAATTAAAATTAAATAAAATGAAAAAAAAAATTAAATGAAATGAAAAGTTTGGTTCCTCAGTTAGACTAGCCACATGTCAAGTGCTCGTAGCCATATATGACTAGCAGACAGCATAGAAACAGTGCTGATGATTTCCATTATTGTAAAACGTTCTACTGGGCAGTGCTGATCTCGAAGGTGCAGTGTCAGCTACTCTTTCTGAGTCACTAATCCAGAGCAAGCTCCATGCAAAGCTGCAGGTGGTAGAGGTGGCAGTGGCAGTAATGAATTTTCTGGAACAGTTCCACAATGTGGCTGGGCACTCAGGGGCATTCGAGTATAGCTCTCCTATCCTCCTGGAGATTTTGTGAGCTTCCCTTCCCAACATCCTGTAATCATAAATCACAGTGGAGCGGACTTTACTGTATTCATTTAAGAACTCTGACTTATACTGAAGTGCTTTCTGACACTCTTGATATTGGAAAGATCAATTGAATAATCCAATTAACCAGCTTTATGACTAAGATTAGCTTTGATCTGGTGGATTAGATTTCCATTGCTAAATTAAAAGATCATAAATTGATGACATGATATTGAGATATCGCTAAATGGATAATTGCACACTGTTACTAACTTAGAGAATCGGTGTTTCTCTAGATTTTAATCATCTCTAATATTACCATGTTAGTTTTACAACTTCCAGAGCCCCTTAAGAGAAAGGAAGCCTTGCCCCAGCTGGGTGGCTTAGTTGGTTGGAGCGTTATCCTGTATACCAAAAGGTTGTGGGTTCGATTCCTAGTCAGGGAAAATACTAGGTTGCAGGTTGGATCCCCGGTCAAGGTGTGTACTGGAGGCAACCCATCTATGTCTCCCTCTCATATCAACACTCTCTCTCTCTCTTTCTCTCTCTCTCTAATAATAATAATAATAATAATAATAATAATAATAACATATCCTCAAATGAGTCTCTAAAAAAGAGAGGAAAAAGGATGCCTTTGCACTGCCTTGAAGATGGCCTGACGACAAGGCATAGCAGGACCTTACAGCCATCCCTGAAGTGTTGTGAGAAGAACTTGAGTTGATCTCCAGGGCTGTGTTAGGGCATCTAGCATAGGGCTGATGATCTTTAGGGGGCGTAAATGATTGTATGGATGTTTACCTATCTTCCAGTGTTATTTCAACTTCTGCCTTTGTTGGGCAATGCTTTGCTATCTCGGGAGTCTCTTCTTTAAGGTCTCTAGGCTCTGGGAATTTCCTCAAAATGGTGCTTCTGAGACCACAATATCTTTGCTACTTCTGCTTTTTCTATAGAAAGTGGGATTGAAGGTTAAGAGGTGGCATTCCAGTGAATGACCTTTTGTGGAAAAGAGTTGTAGTTTCTTCTTATACTCAAGGTGACTGACATTTCAAAAAATAAGGAGGCTATTTTTCCTCATATAATCATATTTCTGCTGCTTGTTGAAGAAGACATTGACCAGGATATCACTATCCTTTTAAATTAGTATGCTAGATTGAAATGCCATTTATTTGGTAAGTTAGTCTTTTATCCCCCCCCCCCCCCAATCTGGATCTTGTTCATCTCTTGTTCTCCCCTTCCCCATTATTTTTTTATTGTGGTATAATTTATTGATCTACATTGAGGTATAATGTACACACCATAAAATTCCTTGTTTTAAGTGTACAGTTCAAATATTTTTAGGAAATTATGAGTTGTGCAATCATCACCACAATCTAATTTTCTTTAAACATATTTTTATTGATTTCAGATAGGAAGGGAGAGAAAGAAAGAAACATCAATGATGAGAGAGAATCATTGATTGGCTGTCTCCTGCACACCCCCTACTGGAGATGAAGCCTGCAACCCCGGGCATGTGCCCTTGACTGGAATTGAACCTGGGACCCTTCAGTCCACAAGCAGAGGCTCTATCCACTGAGCCAAACCAGCTGGGGCACCACAATCTGATTTTAGAACATTTCCATCTTCCCCCCCAAATTCCCTCTTCCCCTTTGCAGTCCTACCATGATCCTATCCCCAGCCCCCAATAACTCTCTGTTTCTATAGATTTACCTTTCTTGTGCCATAGGCACAGAGCTTCCATTGGGTTATTTTTATTGAATAGATTTCCACCCAGTCCTCCTGTCTGAGTATCACCTCCATTCCACTTCCCCTGGCACCTTAGCAATCAGTTCCTGAGCCTTTGGGTGGGTGGAGATCTTATATATTAAGTTAGGGTGTTTTATTCACTGCCAATTTAAGATTTTAGCTTTCTGGGTATGCTAAGTCAGTTAGCAATCATTCATTTACCTGTTCACCAGCTTCCGAAATGCTATTGATACTTATTTCCAATTCTTTTTTTCCGTTCTGGGTTTATACCTTTAAAATAACAAAACCATCCTGGCTGGTGTGGGTCAGTGGTTAGAGCATCTTGGGTTCGATTCCTGGTTGTGTGGGAGGCAACCAATTGATGTGTCTCTTTCACATTGATTCCCCCCCTCTCCCCGTGCATCTTCCCCCTCCCTTCCACTCTCTCTAAAAATGAATGGAAAAAATATCCTCAGGTGAGGATTAAATAAATAAATAAAAACCAAAAAACTTTAGTATATTTTTAATGGAGTCTCAGGAATGAGTGTGTTGGGGGCGGGAGAGTAGTCATAAGCACATGTGTGCAATCTACTACTATCTATAACTAGAAGTCTTCCCCACTAATGTTGATTTACCCCTTTCACTTAAGTTACTGAAAGACTGGAATTTATTCATTGTCCTTAGGGAATGCAGAACTCAAATTAACTTCTGTGGGGCAGATATCCTATTACTCACATGTTGGCCTTTTCTAACATGGGCCCTAAGTGTTAAAAATGTTAAAAGTGGGTCATATGAAGAGTGAGGGAGCCTGTAAGCAGCCATAGCTGATCCCACGTGTGTGCATGCTTCCAGAGCTGTATCTGAATCAGCATTTGCTCCTTGTTTGACGGGTTTTTAGTCTGTGCCCATTATAAAAGACATCACAAGGTTTTAAAATCCAAGCTTGGCTGCCCATGCCTCTCTTTTCATCACACCCTCTGTGCTCTGGCTTTGTCTTAAGCTTTTCTAAGTCTTAACACTTTCTTTGTTTTCCCATAGGATCATGGATTTTCCTGGACACTTTGAACAGATCTTCCAGCAACTGAACTACCAAAGACTTCATGGCCAGCTCTGTGATTGTGTCATCGTCGTGGGGAATAGGCATTTTAAAGCCCATCGCTCTGTACTGGCAGCCTGCAGCACGCATTTCCGAGCCCTGTTCTCAGTGGCAGAGGGAGATCAGACCATGAACATGATCCAGCTGGATAGCGAGGTAGTGACAGCAGAGGCCTTCGCCGCACTGATTGACATGATGTATACCTCCACCCTCATGTTGGGGGAGAGCAATGTTATGGATGTCTTATTGGCAGCCTCTCACCTGCATTTGAACTCTGTTGTTAAGGCATGTAAACATTACTTAACGACAAGGACACTGCCCATGTCTCCCCCCAGTGAGCGTGTTCAGGAACAGAGCGCCCGCATGCAGCGCTTCTTTATGCTGCAGCAGCTGGGACTAAGCATAGTGAGCTCAGCCCTCAATTCCAACCAGAGTGGCGAGGAGCAGCCAGCCCCCATGAGCTCCTCCATGCGCAGTAACCTGGACCAGCGCACGCCCTTCCCCATGAGACGCCTTCATAAGCGTAAGCAGTCTGCAGAAGAAAGGGCCCGGCAGCGCCTCCGACCTGCCATGGATGAGGCTGCCATTTCCAATGTTACGCCAGAGAGTGGGCCTCCGGGGGTTCATTCTCGAGAAGAATTCTTCTTGCCAGATTCTCTGAAAATTGTGGATAACCCTAAGGCCGATGGAATGACCGACAACCAGGAAGACGGTGCCATCCTGTTCGACCAGTCTTTCGGTGCTCAAGAAGATGCCCAGGTGCCCAGCCAGTCTGACAACAGTGCTGGCAACATGGCACCTTTGTCCATGGCCTCTCGTGCAACTCAGGTCGAGACTAGTTTTGAGCAGGAAGCTGCAACTGAGAAAAGTGGTTTTCAGTGTGAAAATCCTGAGGTTGGCCTTGGTGAGAAGGAGCACATGAGAGTGGTGGTGAAATCTGAGCCCTTGAGCTCTCCTGAGCCTCAGGATGAAGTGAGCGACGTGACCTCACAAGCAGAAGGCAGCGAATCTGTGGAAGTGGAAGGAGTTGTGGTCAGTGCTGAGAAGATAGACCTCAGCCCTGAAAGCAGTGATCGGAGTTTTTCAGATCCCCAGTCTAGCACTGACAGGGTAGGAGACATCCATATTTTGGAAGTCACAAATAACTTGGATCATAAGTCCACTTTTAGTATTTCAAATTTTCTTAACAAGAGCAGAGGAAGTAACTTTAGTGCCAATCAGAACAACGATGATAATATTCCAAACACCACTAGTGACTGCAGGCTGGAGTGTGAGGGTCCTTATTTGTTGAGTCCAGAGACTGGGCCTGTGGGCGGGCCCTCCTCGGCCACTGGCTCTCATGTGGAAAACCCATTCAGTGAGCCTGCAGACTCCCACTTTGCGAGGCCTATGCAGGAAGCCATGGGCCTGCCCTGTGTGCAGAGTTCAGGCTATCAAGGAGAACAGTTTGGAATGGATTTTTCCAGGTCTGGTTTGGGCCTCCACTCCTTCTCCAGGGTAATGATGGGCTCCTCAAGAGGAAAGGCCAGTAACTTTCCATACTACCGCCGTATCGCTCCCAAAATGCCAATTGTAACTTCTGTCAGGAGCTCACAGATCCCAGAAAACTCTGCCAGCTCCCAGCTTATGATGAATGGGGCCACGTCCTCATTTGAAAATGGGCATCCTTCCCAGCCCGGCCCTCCACAGCTGACCAGGGCCTCTGCTGATGTCCTGTCCAAATGCAAGAAGGCCTTATCAGAGCACAACGTCTTGGTTGTAGAGGGCGCTCGCAAGTATGCCTGCAAAATCTGCTGCAAGACTTTTCTCACCTTGACAGATTGTAAGAAGCACATCCGTGTTCACACAGGTGAAAAACCCTATGCCTGCCTGAAGTGCGGCAAGAGGTTCAGTCAGTCCAGCCACTTGTATAAACATTCCAAGACTACCTGCCTGCGCTGGCAGAGCAGCAGTCTTCCCAGCACTTTGCTCTAACCCTGACCTCTTGAGATAATGCCGATGTCAGTTGTAGGAAACGAAAATCTCTTGGTTGAGAGCTAATACCCTTGGGTTTGAGGCTTCAGGCTGCCCAATGGCTCTTGCCAATTTCAGTGGCTCAGAGAGAACTTACATGTGTAGCACTAGTGCTGCTGCATTTCCGAGTGAAATGCACGCTCTCAGAGAAGGATGCAGCCCTCGAGCCAAGTTCTTTCTTAGGGTTGAGGACTGTAGTCAGAAAGTAGTTTCTAATTGATGATGTTAAAAATGGCACATGTAAAAATTAAAAATCAAAGTGCAAAAAAATTTTTTAGCAATTTTTGTAAAACTCCGTGAAGCATTTAATTAAAATTCCTATACCCTCTGAAAGGAATATTATACACCTGAACAGTGATGCAAAACTCAACTGTGTGTAACCAGTGGCGACTTTGTGCCCGTCTAAAAGGCCCTTGAGGACGACACACCTGTCGGCCACAAATGCTGTAGAGCCTATCGTGAGCTGGTCCTAGGCCTCGGAAAGTACTGTATTTTTTATTTTTGTCTGACTTGCAGTCACAGACACTGCACTTTGATGGTGCTGACACTGGGTCCAGAGTGAGCATTCTCTGGGCTTTTGGGTGTATATACTTTTGAAAACATCACTGTTGGATAGATGTTTTAACCGTTTTTCCTGGTTTTAAAAACAAGGTTGTAAATGGAGTATGTACGTGTAGGGCGTGACCAGTAAGGTCCTGTTTCTGTGTGTGCTGTTTTAGCAGTATTTTAACCAACTTGTGTACATGTTGCAGTTCCACGTTTGGAAGTCAGAAAAGAGCTAGTGTTTGTCCTTGTTCTGATGATGTGGAGTCCTGTTCTGTGGGATCTTTCACGGCGCATTTACGCTCTGCTCCACCAGACTTCAGGGCCAGTCCAGCCTGACACATCTCACCCAATGGCACGCCACGCCTGTTCTCTGCTTCGCTTTTTCACTCTCGCCCTATATGGCTTCGTTCCCAGGGCCTAGATTGCTGTTTTCAGTTATAACCAAAAACCATGGATTTATTACTGTTATATACTATAGTTTTTTAAAGTATAGAATGTGAACCTTTGTTGTTGCCCCAGCTCAATACTGCATGTTTGAAATCCAAGCATAGCAGTATTCACCGATATTTTCCAGCCTTATAAGAGGGTTGGAGAGCCCAGAACATAGAAGTCACCAAGTAGCATCTGAGACTGTTAAAAGGAACATTTGGGTCACTGTCCAGGGCCTCTTTGGGTCCCACTGACTCACTTCCCCAGCCAGGCTTGTGGTCTCCTGACCCTCTTATCAGGGCTGCTGGTGGCACCTGTATCAGGCTGAGCCCTGGCTTGTGTGCTTCCAGGGAAACAGCACACAGTCCTGTGTGTCGGTAGAGCTCATGAAGTCAGTTTCGTTCATGCATGGACATGAGTTCATTCTTTATACAGCTTTCTTAGACACCAACCATTGTGCATAATTGAGAGAAGTCCTTCCATTTTTGTGTTTAGAAAGCTAAGTATGTGTAGCCTAAAACAAAAATCAGCGTGTTTTTTCCTCTTAATCTAGTGTGTGCAGTTACACACCTGTCTGGATAAACTCAGAATGCTCATAGTTGGGCTTGGCATCTCCTGTGAACAGATTCCCAGGGAGGCAAGGAGGACTCTAAGATTTCTCTCCTTTCTAGCAGACGTGGGAAAGAGACCCCTGGAGGACACGGGGTCACCTGTGAAATTCAGTGTGTGTGTGGCTAATTGTTAGCAGTTGTGTTCTGACTTGATGTGAGGAGGCTCTACATCCACCCTTCTACACAGTGTGGGGCCAGTCTTATGAGATTAACCTTGGCAGGCAGCATGGACAAGAGACCCTGCCTGGGCCTGGGAAGAACCAGTGACACGGGAAGACCAGTGGCAGCCCTCCTTCCCTTCCTTCTTGAGGTGGTGGTGCCAGGAGGCTGCCCCCTCACCTCATCTGTCTTACATGGACTTGGCTCTGGGCCTATCTCCAGTACAGTGGCGGGAGCCCTACCTTTCCTCTGCTAGGTGGAATCTGGAATTGCATCTACCTCTTTGTTAGTTTCTATGTGAGAAGCAAGCTTGCAGGCCAGTGTCCTCATACAAGCTGTAGTGCTTATAGGATAATTCAGAGGTTCCCTGGAAAACCAGTCCCAAGGATCCTATGATCATTTCTACCTGAATTAACCTGGATTTTGATTGGTTAGCCTTAATTATAGCCTGGCATAATTTCTGGTGATCAAATCATAAAGTTCTTTCAGGGCACCCATGTCAGTGGTGCTATGCTAGTCAAAATTTGAGATTTCGAAATAAAAATTTTGTCACATTCATGTCTCTAAATATGTGTTATTTTTCTGTGCTTAAAACAAAAAGGGAAGCAGTATTGCTTTCTCTGCTAATGCTTCGGCCAATACGTTTTTTTTTTTAACCAAGTCTTTTAGAAAATAATCTAATGCTCTCAATAACCATTATTGGTAATTCCTTCAATTTAGTCCCTTCTGCCTTGCCTACTTCTGTCTGTCTGTGAGCCGTGGGCATGTGAGGTTTTCTCAGCCCACCCAGTTTTATTGCTTACTCTTAGGCCCCCGCTGCTCCCTTACTTTCCTCCCAGATTGAAAACTCCACTGGCCAGTTTCGCTTGGCTGTGGGGAGGGCTGGAACCTGCCTGCCTCAGCAGGAGGAGGGCTTTTGGGAGGAGTGAGGTGGCGATTAGAAAAAGGGCACCCATCCACCTGGGGGGAGTGGGGATGAGGACAAGATAGACAAAGGGAGCCAAGTGTGATGGTGCTAAAACTAATTTTAAAATAAAAATTAAGAGATGTGGAGGCCCTGGAGGCAGCCATGCCACCACCACAGTGCCACCATGGTGGTCGCCAAGGACATCCATGAGGACCACAGTACCTCTGAGAATGCAGATTGAGTCCAACCACAACCCTCAGTCTGAGCCTCTAGTTTCTCTTCCTGAGCAAGAAATTAAAATGCTGGAAGACGAAGAGGAGCTTTTCAAAATGCAGGCAAAGCTGTTTTGATTCTCTTCAGAGAATGATCTCCCAGAACGGAAGGAATGAGGCCCCGGTGATGTCAAGCTTCTGGAGCAGAAGGAAAAGGGACTATCCGCCTCCTGAGGGGGGACAAGGCCTTGAAATTACTCGCCAACCGCTATATCATGCCGACTGGAGCTGAAGCCAAGCGCAGGCCATGACCGTGCATGGCTCTGGTACACCCTGCCACCTTTGCTGACGGGCGCCCCAAGCTGGAGCAGCTGGCCATCTGCTTCCCCAATGCTGAAAATGCACAGAAATTCAAGACAAAGTTTGAAGAATGCAGGAAAGAGACTGCAGAGAGAGAAAAGAAAGGAAAACTGGGCAAAAATGGCAATGCTGAGGAGGTGGCTGCAAAAGCTGGAAGTTCTTTCGGTGGAAGGTAACAGGAGTCCGAAGACGAGACCAAGGAGAAAGCTGAGGAGAAGCAGTAAGTGCTCTGCCTTTTTTTCCCTATGCCTGCCTTTTCCATTTTTTAAAATATTTGCCCTGCCCCTTCTTTTTGGTTTTTACTCTTGTTTTTACAAGGGACTTTATTATATAAAGAACTAAATTCCAATAACAACAAAAAACTCACCTACTTCCAGTTATTCTTCCCTTGTTCTCTTTGCTGAGTATATTTAATATGTCCATGGGCTCTGGTTGTCCGTTCTCAGTGAGGGACCTGTGAAGGAATCTGAGCAGAGGACGAGGGGTAAGGTGGTTTGGACAAGTTCTAGGGGGTAAGGACTGAGGTAGAAGCTGAACTCGCAGGTCACTGGATGCCCTGGTTTAGAAAAGGTAAAGCAGATGCTCTTGTCATTAGCTCCTCCCAGTTACAGCCCAACACAGTCTCTCAGAGAATTATTTAATACAAGTACACACTTGGCGCAGACGTTTCCAACCACAAGAGTGGCGAGCACATCTCCCAGCACCAGTCTTCCCTCTGCAGCATCAGCCCAGATCGGACTTTTCCATGGCTCCTGTCCTGTGGGTCCAAATCAAGCCTGGCACAGCCGACAGCATCCGGGCATGTCTGCCTGGCCCTTGGTGCTTCCTGTCTGGCTACAGCTTGAGTTCACTGGGCATTGGCTCCCCTTTCAGGCCAGCCAGCAAGTTGTTGGCTGCCAACAAGGACATGATGTTTCGGGTTCCATGGGTGGCACTGCCAATGTGGGGCAGGATCACTGGAAAGGAGAGGAAGACGGAGTTAAGAGGGTGGTTCAAGAGCCTTACAGCGGGCCCTTCTTTCAGGCTCATGGCTTGCCAGTAAGACGAATAAAGAGCCTCCTCATATTCCTTGATTTGCCTTCCCTCCTGTCACTCAGCACTCCACTCCCCCGAGGCGGAGGGTCAGAGAAAGAATAACGGGAATCCAAGTTCCGGACACCCAGATGGGAGGATGATGAGGGGTGTGTCTCCTAAACGTAAGAACCCTGGCCTGAGGGGTCTTGGAGCTGATCGAGAACCCAGCCCTTCCATTACCAGATAGTGATCGATGCCAATTTAACTGCTCATCCATACCCTGCGCCCTGAAAGTGATGCCACGGGCTTCTGATCTACAGGAATGACGACGAGGTGAAACCCTGGACAGCACAGCAGAGCAAGTCCCCACAGAGCGCCTCTGACAGTAGTTCTCACAGTGAGCGCTGAGCTGAACGCGCAGGCCTGCGGGATGGGGACCGTTTTCTGGGCTGTGGGCACAATGCTCCTTTCTGGCTGGCATGGGGGTAGGGAGAGTAAAGCTTCCAAGGGCCACAATAATGGCAGCATTCATTGTGGGGAAGGCAGCTAAGGACCTTCTCTCTGGTTTCCATGCCAGAATATGAACCAAGGGCGGGACTGGCCAGACAACCCAAGACCCTTACTGCTCATGGTTACAGTGGAAACAGAAACCACCCGAGAGAAAATTTAATATAAAGTACTGTTACCGAGGTAGGAAGTTAACAGGAGGCTAAAGAGGACACTGAGGCAGTAGTTCTCAAAGTGTGGCCCCAGGCCCAGCAGCCTTGGTGAGGAGCAGAAACCCTTGGGGGCCCAGCCCCTGTTTGATTGGTCCCCCCAGGTGACTGAGAAACCTAACAGCTTGAGGTTCCCTCAGGCATCACAGAGACTGAGCCGGAAGCATCTGCCTCCCCAGTACTAGGGGGACGGAGGGGAAGGGTGGGGTTAACAGAAAACTGCAGGAAGGGCCCCTGAGGAGCTGCAGCTCGGAACCCTACCTACCTCTGTGGCCGGGGCACTGACTGGCTGTGGCTTGTCTGAGGGGGGCACCGCGTTGGGAAAACTGCAAACCAGATGCCCCGGCCACTACAGGAGGAACGGCTGCTGCTAGTGAAGACGTGCAGCTGCAGGCCACTCAGCTGGGAAGGCAGGAGGGAGCCAGGGCCTGCTTTCCAGCCTGCCAGGCTGCCTGCAGCGTCCACACTGCACCACAAAGCACACTGCACCAAGGGCTTTGCGACAAGCTCAGGTTACAGGTACTGGTATTGTAATTGTACTTGTGACTTCTCACACTTAAACTGGTAACAGCAATTCATAGCAATGGGTTTTACCCATGGCTAGCTATGAATAAGACACCCAGTCAAATCCACTCATCCCTACCTCCATTCATTCCTTTAGGGACACAGGTGAGCATGCTCAGGAGGCCCCTCCCCTCTGTTATTAGGGACCAGTGCCACTCCTGGCATAATTTATGGTCCCTGGGCGTGTCCCTTTGTGTTCACACAGCGCAGGCAGCTCACACACAGCACCTCCAGACCCTCTAGCTACTATGGTCCTGCGAGGCAGTGGTGACTGCACGCAAGACGCAGTTCTTACCACAGTTCTTCAGGGTCAGCAGAGGGTGGCTCGTAGGCAGTGGTTCCGGGGTTGTCACATCCAGTCCAGCAGCTGCAATCTGGCCACTGACCAAGGCCTGGTACAGGTCGTCCTGGTTCACCACGTCCCCCCTGGAACACAGTGGTGATGTGGGTGCCCCAGTTCCCTGCACCGAGGCTGCCTTTACGGCAGAACCACCTGTGGAATGAATTTCCCCACCGGCCTGGCACCTGCGCTGCCTTCTGAAGCAGGAAGTCTTACATCCTTACTTACAGTATGTCTGTGTAGTAGGAATACAGGACTTGCCATCAGAGAACCCCGCTCCGCCACTTTCTAGCTGTGCGACCTTGGGCAAGTGTCTCAAATTCTGTGTCTCCAGTTCCTCCTCCGTAATAAGGGGAGCCTAACCCCAGGAGTGCTGGAGGCTACAGCTCACTGACATCACTGCTGCATGAATGGGGCCCCACCCAGGTGTTCTGATCTGGGTGCTCCCCCAACCACCCACTGTGCTCTGCCATCAGACACCTGACTAACCAAGGGCAGAGACGGGATCCACCTAAGCACACCCATCCCAGTGAGCAACCTTCCTTCGTGCCACTGAACCACCAAGTAATATGCCATATTGTGCACTGAGTAACACTTGTGCAGTAATAACAGCAGCCTGCACAGTCCTGGGTCCATGTGGGGGCTCAGCAAGTGGAAGCCATGAGACTCAGCCATCAGCGTGAGCCCTGTGTTCACTTCACCTCCAGATCACCACCTCTGTAGCTAAACATTAGCCCTGGGGGGTGACCTCATCCAACCCCTTCCCTCACCTTTGTTTGCTTCCAGACTGGTTCAAAGGGCACCAGCTAGGGAGGGTTTGGAGAGGCAGAGAGGGAAGGTCTGCCCCTATTACATGCCCAGTGGCCTGAAGGCACCTGGGGACATTTTGAGGAACCAAGACCACTGGAGTTTTGGGTCTGTGTCCCCAGAAGCATGAAGTTTCAAGATGTCACTGACTCACACAGACCCAGGCTCAGTGCAATGGGAGGTCGGCCTCCAAAGGCTGTTAAATCTCAAGTCCAACCCTTTGTGGTTCAGAGGAACAGAAGCTGCTCAGGGGTACTTGGGAACTCGATACCATGTCTTCACTCCCTAAACCAACGCTACGATGTGCCTGGCCCTGAGCCAGGCGGCACCACTGCTGGGAACCAGCCAGGCCCTGCTCTCATGGACCTTCCTCTTGGCCTGGGTACTTGTGGCTTTGACTGTATTTCTGAGTTGGCTGCTTGGTTTATGGCGCGTGGCAAGCTCAGCCTGAGGTCTCCTCAACAACCCCCAGGGGAGAAAAGCCTCAGCTCACAGCTGGGAGCCCCTCTCTGGGCCTGCCGTGACCCAGCGTGTCGGTGCCCGGGTACCTGCTGATGTTGACCAGCACGGCTGTTTTCTTCATCAGCCGGAAGAAGTCCTTGTTGCAGAGGCCCTTGGTTGCAGGCGTTAAGGAGCAGGTCACAACGATGAAATCGGCCTCAGCAGCTAGCTGGGCGGTGGGCACTGGGGAGGGCACAGCTCCATCAGAGGCAAGTCCCAGTTACGGAGAGCAAGACGGTAGGAGGCCAGGTCCGCACCCCCCGACCCCCGATGATGGAAACTCCCAAGATGCTTCCTGAAGGCCTTGCCGCTACCTGCACGACTCCTAACTGTACAGTCAACAGCCACTCGTGGGACCCGGGGGTCTTACAGTATTCATCCAGCTCCCTGGTCTAACAGACGGGGACGCTGAGGTCAGAGGGGCAGAGGCTTGTCCAAGGTCACCCAGTGGGATCTGGGCCACTTGGGCTTTCGCCGACTGTAGGGTCCTCTGTGCCACGGGGTGAGGAATGGCTGAGGTTCAGCCTGCTCTCTGCACCCCATGCTGTGCACCCCGCCGGGCTGGATCCGCCTGGACACAGGCTGGGTGGGGGCCAGTAATGCCCAGCCGTGTGAGGGGACTGAGTGAAAGCTCCCAGCAGCTCCTTCCCGCTGCCATCGCCCCTGCTGCTCTGCCCATCCCATGTGCAGTGGAGACCAGGCACTCGGAGGACAGACCTGGAGTGCTCTCCTGGCCCTGGGAGAGCTCACTGCTGGCCTGGGCAAGCCTCTGTGCTCCCTGAGTGGGCTGCATCCAGAGGCAGGTAGATCAGATGACCCCTGAGGGACTGCAGGCCCTGGACACACCTGGAGGGCCTGTGTTCGCCTGCCAAAGCTGCCATTGCAGAAATAGGGGAACCCTCTCACCGAGCACAGACGGGCTCCTGTGCAAATCAATGCTTGACTCACCAAACTCTGCCTGGAACTCTGCTGCTTCCTGAGGCTTGGGCTGGCGCCCTGAGTAGAGAAATCTCTGGACACCAAATGGCTTCAGCCGCCGAGCAATGGCCTGGCCTGAGACAAGGAGTCAGAGTCATGGCTTGTCCCCAACCCCCCTGAGGGCAGGGGCAGCCCCCAGCAGCTCCAGGGACAGGGAGCCCATGGGGGCAGGGGCAGATCCTTTCATTAGCACAGTCCCCACGTTAACTGGTCCTGCCTCGGTGTCACCAGCCCCCAGCCAGCCCACACTGCCCTGAGGGGTCTGAGAGGCAGCACCACAGCTCCTCTGGACTTATGCTGCCCTCACATGGTATCCAGCCACCTGACGTCCATCTGCTAACCTTCCCTGAGAAGTGGACCTGGCACCCCTTCCATCCTTCTGGACCCTCTGCTTCTGTGAATGAAGTCCCAGACCTCAGTTGGCGTTTTGGTGGCACTGCCACTGCCAGCCGGCCCCAGACTGGCAGGCCTTTCACAGATGCTGCTCCTGAGACAGTTGGATATTCAGACTCAGCATGTGCCCCCAAGCTGGCGGGTTCCTCCAAGCCACTGCAGCGTAAGAGGCAGGGCTGCCAGCAGGCCAGTTCATCCACACTCTCCCTCTCTCATCTCTGTACCAGGTTGGATGCCAGAGAACCACTGGCTGCTGCCTGGCTAAACTTAAGCCTTCCTGCCAGGCTTCTCCAAATGGGGCCAATGGCAGAAAAACAGCTCTGCCCACGGGACCCGCTGGTGCCCACGGTAAGGCTTTATGAGCCAGAACTCCGGCCTTGGGGAGCACGGGCTCCCCGACAGAAAACCTCCTACGGCCCCGACCCAGCCAGCCTCTCTCATCTGTTCTGTACGGAGCTGCAGTCATGAAGAGCCCTGGCCCCGACACCCTGCTCCTATCACCGAGCAAGTCCTTAAAGAAGTCCTGTGTTTCTTCTTAGTTTGTTTTTGCCTGTGTTTTATGAAGCTGTGTCTTCTCATCAGAGACAGCCCCACTGCGTGCACAGTGCACGAATGCCACGCAGTGAGGGCAACCCTTTCCCAAGAAGGGTTGTCAGCATCCAGACCCCTGGTGCCGGAGACTCAAACTAAACCCTGTGAGCCGGGGTGGGCCAGGGGGTAGGGAGGGCCTCACCTATGCGCCCCAGCCCGATGATGCCCACGGTGCTCTTCGTGAGGCCGTAGCCACACATCCACAGGGGCTTCCATGCGGTCCAGCCACCACTGCGGGAGGGAGGCGGTGAGAGTGAGAGGCCCTGGCCTCGGGTGAAGGCAAGGGCCACTGCAAATACACAGACCCAGCAGCCCTGCCCTCCAGGCCAAAGGACTGAGAGTGGCATGAGCCACACCCACAGCCACTCCGCCCTGTGGACAAGCATCAGGAATGACTCTTCCGAGGCTGGAAGGGGCCTGAGAAGTTCTCATCCAATGTAGCAGATGGAGAAAGCGTGACCTGCCTGAGGTCACACAGCCAGAGCTGAGTTGGGAGCAGCAGGTTGCAAACTCAGGATCTGGGACTCCAAAAACAGTATTCTCAGCACCCCGGAACCAATCAAACGTAAAGCCACAGGCCCACCCCACTGCCCTGGGTGGACGGGTACGGTGCCTGTCTTGGGTCATCTCCATTGTAGACATGGATTCCCTAGACAGAAGGGCAAGTGGCGTTTTCAGCACTGGGCCTAATCAGCCCGGTGCTGTCCAGCTCTGCCCCATCACATCCCTGCCTGGAACCACGCTCCCTGTCCATTCTCCAAGGGGCTGCATCTGCTCAGGCCGGTCCCTGCACCTGGATGCCTTCCCCACTCGGGATATACAGACTCAAACCCCTGATCTGAAACCCTCAGGCCAGATTTCAGAATTTTCCAGGTTTCAGCAAGGTAGCCTGGTGCATACATACGCTATACTTTACGTGCCCACCTCAGTGGGCAGCACACTGTGGCAAGCACTGTGGCAAGCACCCTGTCTATCTGCAGCAAAACATGCACGTTCACACTGACTATGATGAATTGAAGCCACGAGCAGCCTCCTGTTAGTTCCAGTCAAACTTTCCTGCCAAAAGACTTAAGAGACAACCTTCAGTTTTCAGAGCTTTTGCATTTCTGACCGTGAATGAGGAGTGGCGGACCATCTCTGCACACTCTAGAGGACGCCCACCTGCTGCTTCCTCCAGGAAGCCTTCCCTGATCCACACTCCTCCCCTCACCGCCTCACCTCCCTTATGCTCTTCTCACACAATTTTCCTTCAGGCCCTGTTTATGTCAGCTCTGGCTTGTACTTTAGTATTTTGGGTTAGTCTACCCCCTTCACTAAATGGGGCACATCTGGGGACAGGGATCACATCTGGGCCAGAGTGTCCCTGGGTGCTCAGGAGCCAGCTGCTGAGCAGATCCAACTTTCCCACCAGGTGACCCAGGTGTCCACTCACTTCTTCACTTCCTCGATGGCCTCCGGCAGCCGGCGACTGGTGGTGAGCAGCAGGGAGACAGCGAGTTCCGCGGTGGCGTCTGTCAGGACATCTGGGGTGTAGCCCACACGGATCCCACTACAAATCAAACATCTGGTGGTAACACCGGCCTCCAGCACCCTTGCCAGTTCCTATGCTGCTGCTCTGTTCCCTCTTGGCGCTGCCTGTCGGGGAGCTCAGAGCTGCAAATGAGCACGCAGGAACGGTCATCATTCCGTTATTCCATTTTAATCATCTCCCACTGTGGGAAGGATATGAAGATGGGCGGTCAGGGTCCAAAGTCTGGGCAAGTAACTACTTAACCTTTCTGAATTTCCTCATCTAAACAGAGAAATAACAACACTTAATCTTTCTACATCAAGGGGTTATTGTGGGGGTCAAAAAAGACAACGGATGTAAAAGGGTGCTACGCGGTCAGATATTTACCCCGTTTCTAACTCCCTGGCTTATTTTAACTGGCTGTGCTCATAGACAGACTTCATCATCAGCCACCTCAGTCTCACTCAGGGGTTAGGAATACGAAACAGAAACAAACACCCAGCTCCTCTTCCTCCCTGTCTGGTAGTCGCCCTTCACCTCCCAGGCCCCTTGCAGAACCCAAGCTGCACTTACCGCTTCTTGATTTCATCCAAAGCCAAGTGGTCGACGCCCACAGACATTGTGCTGATGACTTTGAGGTTGGCTCCTATTGGGCAGAAAAAGCATCGTTTTTATCTTTCCTCAGGATTCAAACCCTCCTGCATGTTCTAGATGGGTCCAGAGGGGCAGGGCCTGCTGGAGGTCATAAAGCAAGGCTGCGGCAGGGCTAGACGAGGGCCCGGGCCTTGGAATGCTCCCCCACACCCTGCTGCCTCCGCACAGGACCTGCCTTCCTGGGGTCTCCCTCCAGGGATTCACAGGCCGGAGAGAGGAGCAAGGCGTGTGCCTGAGGTCGGCTGCACACAACCGCTCCCTCTGGCCAACGACTGCAGCCACATCCTCAGGGCTCAGAGGCCACTGCACACCTACTGGGGGGACCAGCAGCAGCAGCTGACGGGCCGAGAGCCTCGGGGCCCTCCCAGCCCTGCCCAGGGCACACACCTGCGGCGTCCAGCAGCGTTCTGTCCACCTGCTCCGTGAGGAGGCAAAGCAGGCCGTGTGCCCCAGCCACGCCTCGCTCCAGCTCCTTCCTGGGGATGGGCTCATCTGAATCCCACTGCTCCACCTCACAGCTGAGGGCAAAGGAGAGACCACTCAGAAGCAGGGGGACCCTGCAGATACTCCCGGGCTCCCAAAGCCCGCCCCCCGCCCCCCGCCACATCTGCAGCCCCCTCTCAGAGTAGGAAACAGTGCCTTCTGCTGGCTCTGGCCTCAGGCTGCCTGAAGCTGGCTGAAGGATTCAGGGTCATGTATGGGCGACTTCAGAACTGTCCTGAGAGGGTGGCTGAAGGGTGAGGGGCTGTCACAGAGCAGAGAGGGCTGACAAGAGCCTAACCTGAAAGTAGGAAGCCATGGGGCCCGGCTGGGGTGGCTCAGCGGTTGAGCATTGATCTATGAAACAGGAGGTCACAGTTCAACTCCTGTCAGGATACATGCCCAGTTTGCAGGCTTGAAGCCCAGTAGCGGGTGTGCAGGAGGCAGATGATCAATGATTCTCTCTCATCATTGATGTTTCTATCTCTCTCCCTTCCTCTCTGAGGTCAAGAAAGATACATTTAAAGAGAAAAAGTCATAGTGACAGCTCTCCGTTCAACACAGGAAGAGCTTTTTCACCCTCAGAGGAGGCCTCACAGGTCGTGAGCTCCCTGGTCCCAGGTGGCCAGTGTTGGCAAGGCCAGTGTGGGGGGAAGGAGGGGTTTGGAGAGGGGGAGAGGGGGAGGTTCCTGCATCAAATGGGATTGGATTCCATGTCCAGGTACATGTCCTGTCCTGTGAGTCCAGGATATGGGAAACCCTTACTTGGACTTTGCCCAGAAGGATGCGACCAAAGCAATGAAGCATGGATGGTGCGCTTACGGGCTCTGGGCATGTTCCCAGGGTGCTGCCCAGCCCCTCAGCCCTGGCCATTTAATTCACTGCAGCCAACATGCTTGGAGCATCTATATGTGCCAGACACAGGACGGCTGCTGGCACCTCCTTTCCACGGGCATGGCGTGGTGCTGCAGCATGCGAGCCATGGTCACCACTGCTGTGGCTTCTGCCTTTCCCTCCTCCTCAATGCCGGGAACATCACGGCGAGCCTACACAAAGCTTCAGCTGCACTGAACAAACATGAACAAATCTCATTCCCCGGGCATGGGTTTCTGCGGCCGGGTTCCACCTTCTCCTGCTTGGGGTAGGCAGTGCAGACCTGTATCATGCAGTGTTCCGACTGCAGTCAGAGCGAGCTGAGTTCAAATCCCAGCCCTGCCACATGCAGAGCTGTGTGACTCTGGGCAAGGTACTTAACCTCTCCCAGTCTCAGTTTTCTCATCTGTAAAATGGGAATCACAACCTCAAAGTGTTACAAGGATTAAAAGAGTTTACGCACACGAAGCGCTTGGCAGGGTTGGCACGCAGGGTTCAATGGAGGAAGCGTCACCAAAGGCCCTGCCACCTGCCCGAAGCACCGGGTCAGTGCCGGGCGAGGTCCCTGGCTTTGCCAAGCGACCTTGGAAGGTAAAGGATTAACAGCCTGGTCCTTGCATCATGCGCGATGTTCCTGCTCCACGGGCCCATCCCTGGGAACGGCTCCAGCCGCCCTCCCCTCACCCACTGCAGGTGCGGGAGGTGCAGTCCAGGCGCCACCCCTACGGCCTGGAGAAAGCTGGGCCCCGGGAACTTTCCCTAAGCCTCCCCCAAACTCCAAGACCGTCCCGGCCGCGCGCAGGTGGGAAAGTCCGGCTCTCGGGGCCCCTAGGACCGCCCGGTTCTCCCCCCAAAATAACGAGGGCCTCTGGAGGCCGCCCCCAGCCGCCCAGGCGCTGCCCCGGGCGCCCCCAAAGTAGCTCCTGAAGACGTGAGTCACCCAGCGTGTATTGATGACGAAGAGGAGGGAGGAGAGCTCAGCAGGGCTCACTATGGACAGTTACTCCTCAGCACAGGAGCTCCAAGTGGGAAAGAAGAGATGCTGGGAAAGACCAGCCAAAGCAAGACGCCCACACGGGATGTCCTCCTGGGCGCTGCTCTGAATCACAATGCGTGAGTTGCTAGCATTGTGCTTGAGTCTGTGCAATTTTTCTGGTCTTAGCCTGTGTCAGGGGCACCGCGTGTGCGCCCCGTGCAGCTGTGGGTGTGTGATCGAGCCTTCGTGAAACGGAGTCTGGTTCCGGGTGATGCGGCCAGGCTGGTGCCTTGGCCCTTGGGCCCCCATGGCCTCCCTGTGACCACCCGCCGCCCCAGGAGCTCAGGGACTGACGGGGTGTCTGGAGGCTGAGCTGGGTAAAGGGACCCAGAGTCCTGTGTGAGTGTGTGGGGATGTCTGTCAGGGCACCCACGGCTGTCAGTGCGTCTGCTCCAGGAGTGGGGGATGCTGTCAGGCACCATCCCCATCCCCAGGGCCCCAGGGCCCTCACCATCCTCGCTAGGTCTGTTCCATCATGGTCACGCTGTTCCAGGCAGGGGCCTTTGGTCACACGGCCTGGGCTCTGAGCCTGGCCTAATATGTAAACACGGAGGCTGGCCCAGGGCATTCTGAGTCCAGGAATGGCCTCTTTAATACTTGGTGCAATTCCTTATATGAAGCCCACCTTTGTGGGGGCCGGTTGATTGGTCATAGGCCTCCCAGCTTGTCTGACACCTGCTGACTGGCAGGTCATGTATAGGACAAGGGTCAAGGTGATGGATGGGGCCTTGTGGGGTGATGGGCAGACCAAGAGTTTGCAGTCAAATGGAAGTGGATCTGAATCCCAGTCCATTTACAAGCTGTGTGGTCCTGGTCAGTTCACATCATCTTCCTAAGCCTCAGTTTCTTCAGCTACAAAATGGGGTTATGAGCACTTACTTTTGCAAGATATTGTGATTATTAAACAAGCAACATTTGCATGGATCCTGGACTATGTAGGGTGTTCGTCAAACACAGAAGCCATGGAGGAGAGAGGTAAGGAGGTCAGGCTCTGGGCTCAGACTGCCTGGATTGAAATCACAGCTCTGCCATGTACCAGCACCAAGTCACTAACCGTCTGTGTGGCTCAGTTTCCTCATCTGTAAAATGGCCAGTGCCTGCCTGTTTCAGGGCTTGTTAAGAGGATGGACTATGTACTAGGTGTACCGGTTAATAATGCAGTTTTTTTTTTCAGTAGATGGAGTTACACATATGTTGATATATATGTGATTTGATATGTATGCTATTTTGTTGTATTGACAAGTTTCAAAACTTCATATGTCAAATTTTCTGAAGGTGTTAACATCATAGATATTTTTATGCTTAAAAATGTTGAATTTGGTGCCAAATAA